CCAAACGATTAATTAATTATTAGCAGAATTTTCTCAAGTAATTGAATGCCCAAAATAGTAATTTATTTGATGTAAAGTTTAGAAACCAAGATTTATGAAATTATGTAATTTGACGTTAATTTGAAATTTTTAGATTTTTTGAAGCTCTAAATCTGACAACTTAAGTTGGTTGAGGCTATTCATGTATCATTAAAGCTGGCCTTGAACGGTCCTTTGGTGTCCTCCTATGTCGAATTCGTTTCGTTAATTATGCATCCTAATTCATTTTAGTGCTCTTTACTGTAATAGATGCCTGATATTAAACACATCTTAAACTTTGCAAATATTTAACTTAAGATATGATGGACGAGAAATTTAACCATTCAGTTAACAGATGTTAATCGAGAGTCCTAATAAAAGTGCTAATTTACAGTGTTTAAAGGAATTTATTACGTCGCTTTACCACGCAATATGGACAAGAACCACGAGCCTTTAATCAAGGAGCATGAACTCCATGCGTTCCAGCGGGTAGCTGACAAATTACGACCTACTCAACACACCACAATAGTTACATATCAGTGGTACTTGTTTTACAAAATTGAAGATGTTGAATTGACACCGGTGAACACGTGAAAATAGAATTTTATTATACAGATTTTCAGTATACCCCCATTTTGATTGGTACTTGGGTTGAGTTGTTTCTCCTAGCAATGTGGATGACCACTCCCAGATGGTATACAAAGAACCGTATTTCGCTCCTGCATTTGATAGTCCGGTGTTTAGTTCATATCTCGTGATGCGTTTTGAGTTTCATTGTCCTCTAAATACTCGTATACCACCTAGTCAAGCTACTCAACATTCATTTTGTCCATACACTATGCTAGATCCATAGTCCATTAAGTGCTTGTCAGTGCGAAAGTCCCATTCCTTTTTAGTCACAGTAATTTTAAAACTCCTCACATCTATTTAATAAAATCAAAATACGGAACAGCTAATTTTATCTGTCTGTGCTTCTTTCTGAAGACACTGCAACATACGAGCTGCTTTCATTGTTGACGGAATGTAGCTTGTTCGTCATATGAACCCATCCATTGGCGATTGCTAAAGCCCTCAGCCAGTCAGAATAATTATTCAGGTGGCAATAAAATGCTGGAAATATGAATGCACTCTGTTAGCGGCGGTGCAGATCAGTTAATGAGCGCCGCATTATTAGAGGCAAAAAAATATGCGAGCATTGGAGTTATTGAAAATTTGTAATTTTTCCTCATCATTTCCTTCATAACCCGCATAGGTTTATCGTACGAGCCCACGCTATGATGTTTCAAGCATGTTAGACCCACAATATAGGTTTTAATCAACCAAAGATTTGGTCTTTTTATTGTTCACGAGCTTACATTATAGAATGCAAAATAGCTGATAAACTCATTTTTACATGCTATTTAAGTTTATGTGTTAATAAAATGGAAGGGCATCTAAGACAAGGTGATGGGATTTCATCTACGTTAGATCGAGCATTATGAAGGCTTTTTACGACTAGCCAACCAGTATACTCGTCACTCTAATTGGCCCATGAATGAGCCTCGCTGCCTATCGCTCACGTCCGCACCAGGCACACCTCAGGACGAATGACCGACGCTTCAAAATTGAATCGGTTTACAGGGCGCAGGGCAAGGCGCAAGGTGTTGTACGTGGCCTCCGGTACGTGATGCTGCGGATTTGAGAGTATTATCTGGTGTGTGTAATCTTCTCGGTGCTGTTTTGGCTCATTCTTTGGTACAAAGTGGTACCCATCGTCAACGCAGGCAATCAAGATTGTCCATCTCCATTTCTCCAGACCACAGACCACCGCATTCCTGATTTTGATGGAACTAACACATCTTGTCGATGTGATAGAGGTTCTGAGATCTATCAGTGGCCGCCTCTGCTTGTTCCCCAGGATCTGGTCTGCGCAGATTCGACTTACAATTTGACGCTGTGAGTGTAAATTCGTCAGCTCTACCGATGACGACGATGTTGCAAGAGAGACTGCAGTGGCTGGGGAAGAACGGGCTGGGGGCGAAGGATAAGAAGTGGGAAGGAAGCTCTGCTTTAGTGATTTTGACTAGAGGGTCATAAGCGAAATAGTGAGGAAGATGGCTACTATATGTACCCCTCGGCCATAAATTTGACGGATACTATTAAAGCCATCACCCACGGAACGACAGCATCCCATGTGAGCCAGTAAGATTCGGCATTTTTTACTAGTTACTTCCTTCCATTTGTATAAGATCTTAAAACAATTTAAACTTGATGTCGTCCTCATGGTTTGCTAAGTTGAGTAACTTCTTATACCTTCATTTTCATATTACTTGTTTAAAAAATGGGGTATATTGGGCTCAAACGGAGGGTCTACAAGAGCATGTGAATACAATTAGTGAAGGTAAAATAAAGGTTCCCTTTTAAAATGTTTACAGATTAGCTACTTATTCTTGAGCTAGAATTACCCATCCCCTACTGGGTGTCGTTGTTGGGCATGCTAAATAGCGCAAAGTAACCACCTTAAATGCTCATTTTGTCCGCAAAGCGTTACTTTAATTGTAGGGACCCATTTCTACCCCCTGCTTTGAGAATTTAGACTAAATACGGTAAGATTGCAGTGCAGTAGCACTTTTTCTCAAGATTTACTTAGTGCATTTGAGGGCTCATGCATTATTGCAGTATTAACGCCAAAGAAAGTCGCCTATTAATGTGAGTCGTTACTATTCTCAGTTGAGTTGGCTTTATTTCACTCATCTGTGTTGTATATTTAGGGGGCCCATTAGTACACTTTACGTTTTATTACCTTAACTTCTTGCCTTTACGTGCGTAGCGTAAATTTCAGCACTTTACCACCTCACTTTTAATTTTTTCAATGTGAGACAAATGACATAAACGCACTGAAAGTAAGGCTGGAATACACATTTAAATAATACACTACTCATTTTGGGTTGCCTTCCAACCTTTTCAAAGGCTGACATTTGTAACCTCCTGATATTGCCAAGCCCCTTCGTGGAGGTGGCCTTCCTCTTTATGTGTTGTATTCACCCAAAATGATTTTTTGTCTTTCCTTCAAATTCCTTTATTTTCTTCATACATTCAAAGCATCAAAAACACCCAAGTTCTTTTTACTGAAATCGCCAATACTATGACCCCACTTCCAAAAGAAAAGCCCTGTATTTATACATTTGTATCTAACTGGGCCTCTGGATGAATGCATTTCTCCTATTTTTTTCGGTTGAGTGTTTTTTAACTGAAAAATTAACCATATATGAGTATTTAGCTGCTTAAACATTGTGGTTGCTAGGTTTGACTTACAAATGGCTTGTTTTGATTAACAAGGCACATTTGACAGGATAATCTTAGCAATGCATCGTGACAAACGCAAGTCCATAGACAAGAAACTGAGAAAATCAAATGAATGACGTGAGGATTTCATTCAACATGTACTTCGATAAATGGTGAACATTGAGAAAGTGATGAATTTAGTCGAACTATATGTATACTTCAACGCTCGCCACCAAGTAATTAAAATCAGGATTTACCATTCATTAAAAAGGTGTTGCAAATTTTAATACCTCATGAATCTAAGAATGCAGTTGTAATTTCTACGTGACACATTTTCACCTCGTGTAGCAGTAGAGTGTATGATTTTAAGAGAAGCCACTCTAAGACCCTAATAGAACATTATTTTCAAGTCATACACAATTGATTGCATCAGAAGTGGACATTGCCACTCAAGGCGAAGTTCTAGTTATATTGCCAAGAGTACAATAGCAAATTGGTAATAAATATTATTTTCCAGGTCTGCGTTGCTGTCTTTCTTTTTCTCCCTTTTTCGGTTTGATAATCTTGTTCAGATTGTTACTAACTTTTCATGCCCATCATGCTAGCACATCTACTGTTTGGACACACCTAAGTGGATTGATCGTGTGGATAGCTCAATGTGATCACATACAGTTCAATCGTGTCCCGGGTCTTGGCATCCTGACGAGTTGCTTTGGTCTAGGGTTAACTTCTGGCCGGCTGCACAGTTATGGTACGGCCACGAGCTAGCATCTGGCCGCCCATATACGACATTTTTTACCACATGCACGAATTCCATGCATCATTATCACCACAACGCACACTTCGCGAGCGCTCTAGCAAGAGGCGTCCGCGGTCTGATCTAATTGCCTCCATTGCTCGTGGCGGCACTCATCCCCAGTACTACTGGTACTACTGCTTGTCCGTATGGTCGGTTGCTCACTTGGCTGTGAGTTTTCCGGTCCATTGTGATTTGCGCATAATTAGAACTACAACGCATATAACAAAGTGGGTAAAGTAGGTTCCCAATCCGACTTATTTTGTCACCCAGTTCCGTGCTCAACTCCTGTCAGACATTTCAGCTGATAAGACTTAGGTCGCCGCTGCTGAGTCAATCACAAAAACAACGGCGCCAATAATATTTAGTTTAAATGCTCATATTTCGCTTTTTTGTGAATCCTGGGTAGTATAACTCATCCATTTACCACTGTGAGCATTTATTTTTGCCTTTTTAAGTCATTAAGCAAATTGGATAATTAGGGCGATAATAAATATCGTGCTCCATTTTTTTTGTAATTCCAATGGAAAATTGATATCAATGAAGGTAAAAAGCTAGTGTTATGTATGTATATATATTCATGTCTGTCAAATTGCTTAGTTGAGAAAATAAAGGGTTTTATGGACGCTGGGTGCATACATGACCCGAGTCAGCAGTATTCTTGAGGTAGCAGAAAGGAAGCAGAGGATGTCAAAAACCTACCATCAACCACAATTCAGCAGCCTCAAATCGGGAAAGCTGACACCCTTTAACTATCGTAGACAAAAGGTTTGAAAATTAATATTTACAATAATTAAATTTAGTTACTATAGAGGCATGACTATATGCATAATTTGTAGATAATTTATCCTCCACAATAAATAGGGTTCAATATATGTCCTCGGCAAACTGTGTCAAGGTGTACGTTGTATTAGCCCATAATGGCCTCAGTGAATGGTTGCTGGTGATCTTGTCACTTTCATTGTGGGATTTAAAATTGTCTGTTCAAGATCCGAAGTCTATGCGATAAATCGGTGACCGTTCCATTTGACGCCGTATTTGCAGGCACCATCCGATTACAAAATTTACTACTTTTCTTCCAATCTATTGTTTCTGATACTGCAGTTTGTTGAAAAAGCGATGACGGAATGACATAGGGTTATAAATTAATATAGTGGTCCATAGTTATCGATTGCTGTGAAGTTGCTTTCACCAAATGGTTCGCTCATCATGCGGAGTGCGCAAGTGAAAATGCGTTGGACCCCAACCAGCATTGAATTTTCAAGAAATGCAGAGGAAATTTTATGTCAGGGAAGTACCGTGTTGTTGCGTAAACAAACCAACGTCACTTAAGGTATGAGCTACAAGCAGTAATTGGTGCTCATTTTTTGTACTCGTAGATTATTGCTGCCTCCATTGTTGTGCGGGACTCCCGCTGCCGTTCTCTCTGATACTATTGCTGCCCTATTAGAGCGACTACTCACCTGTCCAAGTTCTGTTTGTCTTTGTGCATTTACTGCATCATTATAATTGTGAAAAATCGAATAATTGTGGTTTCCCTTATGCATCTTCTTGTTGCTCCATTCCGTGTTTAGGTTGTTCGAATGGGCCTCATGTTTATTTAGAATAACACTGAATTTGTACTTCGACAGTTCACAACTTTTCATTTTGTAATTATGCTGTTTTCACTTATCTGCCAGGTGGATGTCACTTGGGATGATTAATATTCCCTTTGACAAGTTTATCGCTGTGGTGGCATTCGTAATGCGCAGGTCCGTGGGACATTTCCACAAAAAAGATTCTTTACATGGTTTATTGCAATAACCTTACAAATAAAGTTATGTTTTGCCTGTAAAATCTCAAGGTTTTTTCTCATCCACGAAACCTTTCGACTCGCTTGCTTGTTGCGATGACACTGTCCCCAAAAAATAAAAAAAGCATAATAGGTAAGTTTGAGCATTATACCAAGTATTGAACATCTAAAATTAAATGTTACCAAATCGCAAACCCATCAGTTCTGTTTAGATCTGAGAAAATCTCAAACTTGTGGGTTAGCAACAAAAATATTAATGCTAAGAATGGAATTACCTGTGACACTGACAACTTGTTGGAGGTGAGTAAACTTTAAGTAAATGGATTTAAATAAATTTGATTCAACGGGATGAGTCATTTTAGTGCGTGAAAATTTTTCTTATTAAACCGAAGATATTTTGCAGATAAAGTAGAACCCACCACCACTATAGTATTATACCATTGTTCAGTGACCCTATGGAAGCAATGATATTCCTCTTAATTACATATGGGATTAAGCAAACCTTTTGAGCCTCTTATAACTCCCCTAGCAATTACCTAATCATTCTGTACGTTTGTCGTGAAGTTGCTCCTATTATTACATGGCTTTAAGCGTCTCCAATAATAACTCGGACGGTACGCTCTCCTCTTGAGAATGTTCACACGAAAGAATCTGTTTACGCAATCATGTATACATAATGCAACGATCCAAACTACCACATCCACCTACTCAAACCGCACGGTGCGGTGACTTTCCACAAGTGAAATTTGCGCTTTGTAATTACAGAAAGTAGCTCCACTAATGGACTCATTTTAAAATGTTACAGTCAATCAAAGCATTCGTGATTTACGTTAGCCTTCAAGACTTAGCTTATATTCTTTCATGGAAGTAGTCAAAGTAATAATGATATCCTGTTTAAGCAAGCATAATTGTTAAAAGTTCGGGACTGTGTGACTTTAATACAGGATTTTCGTATACCTATTAACGCTACTGTGTGAAAGTAAATTGGCACATTTTCACCTTTCAAGCAAAGGACTTTGCCGGGGTGTATAACAAGGGGGTCCAACCACTTTTAGTGTTGATCCACTGATATTACTTTGCAAAACTTTCTTCCATAGCGCAAAGAAAGTAGTGCTATCAAACTGGGTATGCCCAGTTGGCATGGTTCTGGGATATCTTGATCTTGGCCTCTACGATGAAGCTGTTAGATATTAATAGACAAAGTAGTCTATTCGAAATTTGATGCCTTTCGCGGTGAGCGTGATACACTCATATTTATCCGTTTTTAGGTAAATCCGATGTTTTTCTATTCCTCGACGCTGACTACGAGTTCAACGCAAAGATTCTCCTCAATCATGTTCGGATTCGCAGGCGACCGCAACGCCGTCAGCTACTCAGCGAACCACTAATAACTTAGTGGCGTGTGATTCGTCCCTTCAAGGGCGCAAAGTGCCACAAGTTGGCTATTACCCCGCAAAAGGTGCCGTGGGCCCGCCTGCCACCTCGCGTATGGGACACCGCCTCCCTCATCAGGGCCGAGGTGCTTCCTGAGCTGGTGGGGGGAGAAGCTTACACACACGTTTTCTTTAGGTGGACGATGCCTTCCTCGGCTTTGCCGTTGCTAAGTTTCCTTTACGTAACTTCCAGGAAATGAAAGGCTTCTATCTAGAGTTCAGCAATAATGACAAGACCTCAGTCTCACATATTCCATTTCAGTTCTGGACAATGCGAAGCAGTTTTTTTATAATTCGAGTCTGTAGATAAATTTCTTTTATTTCCATCATCTATCACATTGAAAGTGATAAAGCTTATTTTGCTACTGACATTAGATTAGAACGGTTTTCATATCAGAATGCTGAAGGTTTTTAGATGCAAATAATCTCTACCACCTGTAATTTTTCCACAAAATTAAAAGATTGGAAACTCGAAACTGTAAACATTCACATAAAATTGAATTTTTTCGATTTCACCAAGAAACAAACCTTATGCAAAGTTTAGTCAGTCGCTGATTTGCGTTTAAGAAGAATGAAGATCATGATCGTATTTATGGAATTTATTTTTCCTAGAAGAATGAACTTTCCACTTGCCCAAAAACCCATTTTGCATGGCATAAATGGGTCTCTTAGCGTGGGACAACTCTATTCATTGCTTAATCATTTCACCCATTACAGCGTATTGAAGGAAAGTATCGACGAGATTCAGGCGTAGTACATAAATGGACATTAGATGCGAATTGTATCACTGAAGTTCACAGCAAAAACACTACAATATCGTCCACTTTTGTGGCAGCTGGGGTTCCTTTACATTGTACGCGCCTATTGAGATCATTGATACCAATTTAACACCATGTGTAAATACACCCTCGCAATTTTACGAAAAGTCCCACGACATGTCTTAAATTGATCAGTGAGTATTTCTCCCTTGCTGCTCCCATTGTTAGCAAATGGGTAGGCCGCAGTTACCAACTCTAACAGCGATAACAAGGCTGTTTACATTTTTGACCCATGCACCACTCGACACATTATTTCCACAAATAAAATCTAGGTATTGTGCCCGAGTGATCTTTTTGCTTCCCTTTTATTAAAATTTGAAAAACCAAATACTAGCAAATACTGGGCCTAAACCAAAGCAAATAATAGTTAACCAAATAAACACTAGACCCGGTATTTATTCTTATCTAAGTTAATTGCATTGTACGTCGCATTTGTTTTAACTTGCATTTTTCTCAATCACCGTATATTTGGCATTGTCGATAATCTATCGGGATCAAGGAGCGTTTGAATAAAAATGTATTAAAAGACCAACGTCTAAAGTAGAAGCTTGTCAGTCTAGTTTCATATAAATCATTATCTTTCCCGTAAGTAATGTTTATTAATCAACAAACCATTTCGCATTTGTTGAGGTGATTTATTTACGGGAATGGTTGAAGTGTGCTAAAGCATTAGATCGAATTTATTGTGGCGAAATTGTAAGAAATACGTATTATGTAAGAATCTTGCAATATAATGTAGGAAAACTTCAGGTGAAACGCTAATTGCTTCATTTGCTTGTGGACGCCTTATCCCACAGTCAACCAACATACAAAAGAGTTCTTTCAACTTGTAGATTAACTTTTAAATGGTTACATCATCATTTTTTGATTTCGGATAGAAATAATTGTTTTATGGATTGGATCAATGTCATAGTAGTGGTCCCGCTTTTGATGCCAGTTTTGGCTCATTCACATTCAATCAGTTATCCAAAAGAACATCACGTTTATTGTTGGTATAAAATAGCATAGATTTCAATGGGTATACACTAGTGAACGTAGTTCCATTCCTTTTGACACTTCTAGATGCATTGCTTAATAGAGTATAGCCGCGGATTCTTTAAAATACTGTCGTGTTCTAACATTAACACATTAAATCGCACAGTGATGATGAAGGAAATGCCAGCGAGATGAAACTACAATTTTATTATCAATATCTGGAGGAAAAATGCATTTGTTATTGTGGTTTATGGTAATTTTTTCCTGCGTAACCAGCATGTCTGATGGCATGGTCAGAAGAGGCACGGGATTATTTTATATGCCTTAAAATATGATTCGTCAACAAGACAACATGTATGAGTGCACAGAGTAGATTGTTTAGGAAACTGCTAATGGGTCAGTTTAAGAATGAATATTCTGCGGTAATGGCTTTATTGACTAAATATCCTCAAATCATTCATCAAGGCGGACTGGTAGCTTGACTTCAAAGGATTCGAGGTACTTGAAACGTGCAAGATTTCCAGAGTATAAGTCTATGTCTAGTGATCTAGATCAGTCTAGAAGATGGCATAGCATTGCCTCAAATGCAATTCCCCAAAGCTTCCTAGAATATAACTGCGGGTTATGGGAGTGAAAGGCGCTTATTTTGAATCCCCCACTTAATTTATGCAGCCGGTTATATCAGAGAAATAGAAATATAACGACTGCATAATTTTGGTGATTTCCTTGCCCATTTCCTGTGCAACCATGAAACAAACTATAGTGATTAGAAAATCCAAAAATGATTAGACACAATTCGTGTTAATTATTGCCAAAGGTATAAATTATTGATAAGTAAGTTATACAGTTAAGTTTAAAAAGGTTAAACTAGGAGAAATGTCTGTTGGTAAGAAGTATAAAATCTCCAATGTAAAGTGGGTCACAAAAGATTATTCTCTTTAAATTGATCCCTTAGAAGCAATAGCCCAGTTATAATGACTTGTAATAAGTTAGTTATTTAATTCTCGGTTTTGGTAGGGAGACCACATTGGTTCGCCGCGATCGTACCTTCGCCAAGTAGACTGACTTCCGGGTCATGCCAGTAGCCCCAGCTCCTACTGAAAATCCCGGGACGATCCATTGGTGGCAGCAAAAAGGGACCCGGCCGTAAAAAACATCAGCCCTGATTTCTGCTGCTGGGTGTTAAACTTTAGCAGGGCTGGAAAAGTGCACACGCTGTTACTGGAGGAAACTGTGGCGATCTGTAACAGAAAGGCTAAACTTTACGTTTACTTTCGGCAATTATCCCGCTTCCATGTTCAACAGAAGAGTTAAAAAGAAGTGAAGCGAAACTAGCTGTGAATCATCTGGAAAAGTGTTGCTAAGGAGTTACTTGCCGCACCTTTATGCAGATGCCAAATATGCGAACTCTTCATGCCTCCCCCATTTTTTAAGAGAAAACAACGTAGTAAGGAGAAAGAGAAGCTAAAGCTTACTCTCACGGAACTGTGTTCAACCCTAACTTTGTTGCGCGACTATGCTCCAAACGATTAATTAATTATTAGCAGAATTTTCTCAAGTAATTGAATGCCCAAAATAGTAATTTATTTGATGTAAAGTTTAGAAACCAAGATTTATGAAATTATGTAATTTGACGTTAATTTGAAATTTTTAGATTTTTTGAAGCTCTAAATCTGACAACTTAAGTTGGTTGAGGCTATTCATGTATCATTAAAGCTGGCCTTGAACGGTCCTTTGGTGTCCTCCTATGTCGAATTCGTTTCGTTAATTATGCATCCTAATTCATTTTAGTGCTCTTTACTGTAATAGATGCCTGATATTAAACACATCTTAAACTTTGCAAATATTTAACTTAAGATATGATGGACGAGAAATTTAACCATTCAGTTAACAGATGTTAATCGAGAGTCCTAATAAAAGTGCTAATTTACAGTGTTTAAAGGAATTTATTACGTCGCTTTACCACGCAATATGGACAAGAACCACGAGCCTTTAATCAAGGAGCATGAACTCCATGCGTTCCAGCGGGTAGCTGACAAATTACGACCTACTCAACACACCACAATAGTTACATATCAGTGGTACTTGTTTTACAAAATTGAAGATGTTGAATTGACACCGGTGAACACGTGAAAATAGAATTTTATTATACAGATTTTCAGTATACCCCCATTTTGATTGGTACTTGGGTTGAGTTGTTTCTCCTAGCAATGTGGATGACCACTCCCAGATGGTATACAAAGAACCGTATTTCGCTCCTGCATTTGATAGTCCGGTGTTTAGTTCATATCTCGTGATGCGTTTTGAGTTTCATTGTCCTCTAAATACTCGTATACCACCTAGTCAAGCTACTCAACATTCATTTTGTCCATACACTATGCTAGATCCATAGTCCATTAAGTGCTTGTCAGTGCGAAAGTCCCATTCCTTTTTAGTCACAGTAATTTTAAAACTCCTCACATCTATTTAATAAAATCAAAATACGGAACAGCTAATTTTATCTGTCTGTGCTTCTTTCTGAAGACACTGCAACATACGAGCTGCTTTCATTGTTGACGGAATGTAGCTTGTTCGTCATATGAACCCATCCATTGGCGATTGCTAAAGCCCTCAGCCAGTCAGAATAATTATTCAGGTGGCAATAAAATGCTGGAAATATGAATGCACTCTGTTAGCGGCGGTGCAGATCAGTTAATGAGCGCCGCATTATTAGAGGCAAAAAAATATGCGAGCATTGGAGTTATTGAAAATTTGTAATTTTTCCTCATCATTTCCTTCATAACCCGCATAGGTTTATCGTACGAGCCCACGCTATGATGTTTCAAGCATGTTAGACCCACAATATAGGTTTTAATCAACCAAAGATTTGGTCTTTTTATTGTTCACGAGCTTACATTATAGAATGCAAAATAGCTGATAAACTCATTTTTACATGCTATTTAAGTTTATGTGTTAATAAAATGGAAGGGCATCTAAGACAAGGTGATGGGATTTCATCTACGTTAGATCGAGCATTATGAAGGCTTTTTACGACTAGCCAACCAGTATACTCGTCACTCTAATTGGCCCATGAATGAGCCTCGCTGCCTATCGCTCACGTCCGCACCAGGCACACCTCAGGACGAATGACCGACGCTTCAAAATTGAATCGGTTTACAGGGCGCAGGGCAAGGCGCAAGGTGTTGTACGTGGCCTCCGGTACGTGATGCTGCGGATTTGAGAGTATTATCTGGTGTGTGTAATCTTCTCGGTGCTGTTTTGGCTCATTCTTTGGTACAAAGTGGTACCCATCGTCAACGCAGGCAATCAAGATTGTCCATCTCCATTTCTCCAGACCACAGACCACCGCATTCCTGATTTTGATGGAACTAACACATCTTGTCGATGTGATAGAGGTTCTGAGATCTATCAGTGGCCGCCTCTGCTTGTTCCCCAGGATCTGGTCTGCGCAGATTCGACTTACAATTTGACGCTGTGAGTGTAAATTCGTCAGCTCTACCGATGACGACGATGTTGCAAGAGAGACTGCAGTGGCTGGGGAAGAACGGGCTGGGGGCGAAGGATAAGAAGTGGGAAGGAAGCTCTGCTTTAGTGATTTTGACTAGAGGGTCATAAGCGAAATAGTGAGGAAGATGGCTACTATATGTACCCCTCGGCCATAAATTTGACGGATACTATTAAAGCCATCACCCACGGAACGACAGCATCCCATGTGAGCCAGTAAGATTCGGCATTTTTTACTAGTTACTTCCTTCCATTTGTATAAGATCTTAAAACAATTTAAACTTGATGTCGTCCTCATGGTTTGCTAAGTTGAGTAACTTCTTATACCTTCATTTTCATATTACTTGTTTAAAAAATGGGGTATATTGGGCTCAAACGGAGGGTCTACAAGAGCATGTGAATACAATTAGTGAAGGTAAAATAAAGGTTCCCTTTTAAAATGTTTACAGATTAGCTACTTATTCTTGAGCTAGAATTACCCATCCCCTACTGGGTGTCGTTGTTGGGCATGCTAAATAGCGCAAAGTAACCACCTTAAATGCTCATTTTGTCCGCAAAGCGTTACTTTAATTGTAGGGACCCATTTCTACCCCCTGCTTTGAGAATTTAGACTAAATACGGTAAGATTGCAGTGCAGTAGCACTTTTTCTCAAGATTTACTTAGTGCATTTGAGGGCTCATGCATTATTGCAGTATTAACGCCAAAGAAAGTCGCCTATTAATGTGAGTCGTTACTATTCTCAGTTGAGTTGGCTTTATTTCACTCATCTGTGTTGTATATTTAGGGGGCCCATTAGTACACTTTACGTTTTATTACCTTAACTTCTTGCCTTTACGTGCGTAGCGTAAATTTCAGCACTTTACCACCTCACTTTTAATTTTTTCAATGTGAGACAAATGACATAAACGCACTGAAAGTAAGGCTGGAATACACATTTAAATAATACACTACTCATTTTGGGTTGCCTTCCAACCTTTTCAAAGGCTGACATTTGTAACCTCCTGATATTGCCAAGCCCCTTCGTGGAGGTGGCCTTCCTCTTTATGTGTTGTATTCACCCAAAATGATTTTTTGTCTTTCCTTCAAATTCCTTTATTTTCTTCATACATTCAAAGCATCAAAAACACCCAAGTTCTTTTTACTGAAATCGCCAATACTATGACCCCACTTCCAAAAGAAAAGCCCTGTATTTATACATTTGTATCTAACTGGGCCTCTGGATGAATGCATTTCTCCTATTTTTTTCGGTTGAGTGTTTTTTAACTGAAAAATTAACCATATATGAGTATTTAGCTGCTTAAACATTGTGGTTGCTAGGTTTGACTTACAAATGGCTTGTTTTGATTAACAAGGCACATTTGACAGGATAATCTTAGCAATGCATCGTGACAAACGCAAGTCCATAGACAAGAAACTGAGAAAATCAAATGAATGACGTGAGGATTTCATTCAACATGTACTTCGATAAATGGTGAACATTGAGAAAGTGATGAATTTAGTCGAACTATATGTATACTTCAACGCTCGCCACCAAGTAATTAAAATCAGGATTTACCATTCATTAAAAAGGTGTTGCAAATTTTAATACCTCATGAATCTAAGAATGCAGTTGTAATTTCTACGTGACACATTTTCACCTCGTGTAGCAGTAGAGTGTATGATTTTAAGAGAAGCCACTCTAAGACCCTAATAGAACATTATTTTCAAGTCATACACAATTGATTGCATCAGAAGTGGACATTGCCACTCAAGGCGAAGTTCTAGTTATATTGCCAAGAGTACAATAGCAAATTGGTAATAAATATTATTTTCCAGGTCTGCGTTGCTGTCTTTCTTTTTCTCCCTTTTTCGGTTTGATAATCTTGTTCAGATTGTTACTAACTTTTCATGCCCATCATGCTAGCACATCTACTGTTTGGACACACCTAAGTGGATTGATCGTGTGGATAGCTCAATGTGATCACATACAGTTCAATCGTGTCCCGGGTCTTGGCATCCTGACGAGTTGCTTTGGTCTAGGGTTAACTTCTGGCCGGCTGCACAGTTATGGTACGGCCACGAGCTAGCATCTGGCCGCCCATATACGACATTTTTTACCACATGCACGAATTCCATGCATCATTATCACCACAACGCACACTTCGCGAGCGCTCTAGCAAGAGGCGTCCGCGGTCTGATCTAATTGCCTCCATTGCTCGTGGCGGCACTCATCCCCAGTACTACTGGTACTACTGCTTGTCCGTATGGTCGGTTGCTCACTTGGCTGTGAGTTTTCCGGTCCATTGTGATTTGCGCATAATTAGAACTACAACGCATATAACAAAGTGGGTAAAGTAGGTTCCCAATCCGACTTATTTTGTCACCCAGTTCCGTGCTCAACTCCTGTCAGACATTTCAGCTGATAAGACTTAGGTCGCCGCTGCTGAGTCAATCACAAAAACAACGGCGCCAATAATATTTAGTTTAAATGCTCATATTTCGCTTTTTTGTGAATCCTGGGTAGTATAACTCATCCATTTACCACTGTGAGCATTTATTTTTGCCTTTTTAAGTCATTAAGCAAATTGGATAATTAGGGCGATAATAAATATCGTGCTCCATTTTTTTTGTAATTCCAATGGAAAATTGATATCAATGAAGGTAAAAAGCTAGTGTTATGTATGTATATATATTCATGTCTGTCAAATTGCTTAGTTGAGAAAATAAAGGGTTTTATGGACGCTGGGTGCATACATGACCCGAGTCAGCAGTATTCTTGAGGTAGCAGAAAGGAAGCAGAGGATGTCAAAAACCTACCATCAACCACAATTCAGCAGCCTCAAATCGGGAAAGCTGACACCCTTTAACTATCGTAGACAAAAGGTTTGAAAATTAATATTTACAATAATTAAATTTAGTTACTATAGAGGCATGACTATATGCATAATTTGTAGATAATTTATCCTCCACAATAAATAGGGTTCAATATATGTCCTCGGCAAACTGTGTCAAGGTGTACGTTGTATTAGCCCATAATGGCCTCAGTGAATGGTTGCTGGTGATCTTGTCACTTTCATTGTGGGATTTAAAATTGTCTGTTCAAGATCCGAAGTCTATGCGATAAATCGGTGACCGTTCCATTTGACGCCGTATTTGCAGGCACCATCCGATTACAAAATTTACTACTTTTCTTCCAATCTATTGTTTCTGATACTGCAGTTTGTTGAAAAAGCGATGACGGAATGACATAGGGTTATAAATTAATATAGTGGTCCATAGTTATCGATTGCTGTGAAGTTGCTTTCACCAAATGGTTCGCTCATCATGCGGAGTGCGCAAGTGAAAATGCGTTGGACCCCAACCAGCATTGAATTTTCAAGAAATGCAGAGGAAATTTTATGTCAGGGAAGTACCGTGTTGTTGCGTAAACAAACCAACGTCACTTAAGGTATGAGCTACAAGCAGTAATTGGTGCTCATTTTTTGTACTCGTAGATTATTGCTGCCTCCATTGTTGTGCGGGACTCCCGCTGCCGTTCTCTCTGATACTATTGCTGCCCTATTAGAGCGACTACTCACCTGTCCAAGTTCTGTTTGTCTTTGTGCATTTACTGCATCATTATAATTGTGAAAAATCGAATAATTGTGGTTTCCCTTATGCATCTTCTTGTTGCTCCATTCCGTGTTTAGGTTGTTCGAATGGGCCTCATGTTTATTTAGAATAACACTGAATTTGTACTTCGACAGTTCACAACTTTTCATTTTGTAATTATGCTGTTTTCACTTATCTGCCAGGTGGATGTCACTTGGGATGATTAATATTCCCTTTGACAAGTTTATCGCTGTGGTGGCATTCGTAATGCGCAGGTCCGTGGGACATTTCCACAAAAAAGATTCTTTACATGGTTTATTGCAATAACCTTACAAATAAAGTTATGTTTTGCCTGTAAAATCTCAAGGTTTTTTCTCATCCACGAAACCTTTCGACTCGCTTGCTTGTTGCGATGACACTGTCCCCAAAAAATAAAAAAAGCATAATAGGTAAGTTTGAGCATTATACCAAGTATTGAACATCTAAAATTAAATGTTACCAAATCGCAAACCCATCAGTTCTGTTTAGATCTGAGAAAATCTCAAACTTGTGGGTTAGCAACAAAAATATTAATGCTAAGAATGGAATTACCTGTGACACTGACAACTTGTTGGAGGTGAGTAAACTTTAAGTAAATGGATTTAAATAAATTTGATTCAACGGGATGAGTCATTTTAGTGCGTGAAAATTTTTCTTATTAAACCGAAGATATTTTGCAGATAAAGTAGAACCCACCACCACTATAGTATTATACCATTGTTCAGTGACCCTATGGAAGCAATGATATTCCTCTTAATTACATATGGGATTAAGCAAACCTTTTGAGCCTCTTATAACTCCCCTAGCAATTACCTAATCATTCTGTACGTTTGTCGTGAAGTTGCTCCTATTATTACATGGCTTTAAGCGTCTCCAATAATAACTCGGACGGTACGCTCTCCTCTTGAGAATGTTCACACGAAAGAATCTGTTTACGCAATCATGTATACATAATGCAACGATCCAAACTACCACATCCACCTACTCAAACCGCACGGTGCGGTGACTTTCCACAAGTGAAATTTGCGCTTTGTAATTACAGAAAGTAGCTCCACTAATGGACTCATTTTAAAATGTTACAGTCAATCAAAGCATTCGTGATTTACGTTAGCCTTCAAGACTTAGCTTATATTCTTTCATGGAAGTAGTCAAAGTAATAATGATATCCTGTTTAAGCAAGCATAATTGTTAAAAGTTCGGGACTGTGTGACTTTAATACAGGATTTTCGTATACCTATTAACGCTACTGTGTGAAAGTAAATTGGCACATTTTCACCTTTCAAGCAAAGGACTTTGCCGGGGTGTATAACAAGGGGGTCCAACCACTTTTAGTGTTGATCCACTGATATTACTTTGCAAAACTTTCTTCCATAGCGCAAAGAAAGTAGTGCTATCAAACTGGGTATGCCCAGTTGGCATGGTTCTGGGATATCTTGATCTTGGCCTCTACGATGAAGCTGTTAGATATTAATAGACAAAGTAGTCTATTCGAAATTTGATGCCTTTCGCGGTGAGCGTGATACACTCATATTTATCCGTTTTTAGGTAAATCCGATGTTTTTCTATTCCTCGACGCTGACTACGAGTTCAACGCAAAGATTCTCCTCAATCATGTTCGGATTCGCAGGCGACCGCAACGCCGTCAGCTACTCAGCGAACCACTAATAACTTAGTGGCGTGTGATTCGTCCCTTCAAGGGCGCAAAGTGCCACAAGTTGGCTATTACCCCGCAAAAGGTGCCGTGGGCCCGCCTGCCACCTCGCGTATGGGACACCGCCTCCCTCATCAGGGCCGAGGTGCTTCCTGAGCTGGTGGGGGGAGAAGCTTACACACACGTTTTCTTTAGGTGGACGATGCCTTCCTCGGCTTTGCCGTTGCTAAGTTTCCTTTACGTAACTTCCAGGAAATGAAAGGCTTCTATCTAGAGTTCAGCAATAATGACAAGACCTCAGTCTCACATATTCCATTTCAGTTCTGGACAATGCGAAGCAGTTTTTTTATAATTCGAGTCTGTAGATAAATTTCTTTTATTTCCATCATCTATCACATTGAAAGTGATAAAGCTTATTTTGCTACTGACATTAGATTAGAACGGTTTTCATATCAGAATGCTGAAGGTTTTTAGATGCAAATAATCTCTACCACCTGTAATTTTTCCACAAAATTAAAAGATTGGAAACTCGAAACTGTAAACATTCACATAAAATTGAATTTTTTCGATTTCACCAAGAAACAAACCTTATGCAAAGTTTAGTCAGTCGCTGATTTGCGTTTAAGAAGAATGAAGATCATGATCGTATTTATGGAATTTATTTTTCCTAGAAGAATGAACTTTCCACTTGCCCAAAAACCCATTTTGCATGGCATAAATGGGTCTCTTAGCGTGGGACAACTCTATTCATTGCTTAATCATTTCACCCATTACAGCGTATTGAAGGAAAGTATCGACGAGATTCAGGCGTAGTACATAAATGGACATTAGATGCGAATTGTATCACTGAAGTTCACAGCAAAAACACTACAATATCGTCCACTTTTGTGGCAGCTGGGGTTCCTTTACATTGTACGCGCCTATTGAGATCATTGATACCAATTTAACACCATGTGTAAATACACCCTCGCAATTTTACGAAAAGTCCCACGACATGTCTTAAATTGATCAGTGAGTATTTCTCCCTTGCTGCTCCCATTGTTAGCAAATGGGTAGGCCGCAGTTACCAACTCTAACAGCGATAACAAGGCTGTTTACATTTTTGACCCATGCACCACTCGACACATTATTTCCACAAATAAAATCTAGGTATTGTGCCCGAGTGATCTTTTTGCTTCCCTTTTATTAAAATTTGAAAAACCAAATACTAGCAAATACTGGGCCTAAACCAAAGCAAATAATAGTTAACCAAATAAACACTAGACCCGGTATTTATTCTTATCTAAGTTAATTGCATTGTACGTCGCATTTGTTTTAACTTGCATTTTTCTCAATCACCGTATATTTGGCATTGTCGATAATCTATCGGGATCAAGGAGCGTTTGAATAAAAATGTATTAAAAGACCAACGTCTAAAGTAGAAGCTTGTCAGTCTAGTTTCATATAAATCATTATCTTTCCCGTAAGTAATGTTTATTAATCAACAAACCATTTCGCATTTGTTGAGGTGATTTATTTACGGGAATGGTTGAAGTGTGCTAAAGCATTAGATCGAATTTATTGTGGCGAAATTGTAAGAAATACGTATTATGTAAGAATCTTGCAATATAATGTAGGAAAACTTCAGGTGAAACGCTAATTGCTTCATTTGCTTGTGGACGCCTTATCCCACAGTCAACCAACATACAAAAGAGTTCTTTCAACTTGTAGATTAACTTTTAAATGGTTACATCATCATTTTTTGATTTCGGATAGAAATAATTGTTTTATGGATTGGATCAATGTCATAGTAGTGGTCCCGCTTTTGATGCCAGTTTTGGCTCATTCACATTCAATCAGTTATCCAAAAGAACATCACGTTTATTGTTGGTATAAAATAGCATAGATTTCAATGGGTATACACTAGTGAACGTAGTTCCATTCCTTTTGACACTTCTAGATGCATTGCTTAATAGAGTATAGCCGCGGATTCTTTAAAATACTGTCGTGTTCTAACATTAACACATTAAATCGCACAGTGATGATGAAGGAAATGCCAGCGAGATGAAACTACAATTTTATTATCAATATCTGGAGGAAAAATGCATTTGTTATTGTGGTTTATGGTAATTTTTTCCTGCGTAACCAGCATGTCTGATGGCATGGTCAGAAGAGGCACGGGATTATTTTATATGCCTTAAAATATGATTCGTCAACAAGACAACATGTATGAGTGCACAGAGTAGATTGTTTAGGAAACTGCTAATGGGTCAGTTTAAGAATGAATATTCTGCGGTAATGGCTTTATTGACTAAATATCCTCAAATCATTCATCAAGGCGGACTGGTAGCTTGACTTCAAAGGATTCGAGGTACTTGAAACGTGCAAGATTTCCAGAGTATAAGTCTATGTCTAGTGATCTAGATCAGTCTAGAAGATGGCATAGCATTGCCTCAAATGCAATTCCCCAAAGCTTCCTAGAATATAACTGCGGGTTATGGGAGTGAAAGGCGCTTATTTTGAATCCCCCACTTAATTTATGCAGCCGGTTATATCAGAGAAATAGAAATATAACGACTGCATAATTTTGGTGATTTCCTTGCCCATTTCCTGTGCAACCATGAAACAAACTATAGTGATTAGAAAATCCAAAAATGATTAGACACAATTCGTGTTAATTATTGCCAAAGGTATAAATTATTGATAAGTAAGTTATACAGTTAAGTTTAAAAAGGTTAAACTAGGAGAAATGTCTGTTGGTAAGAAGTATAAAATCTCCAATGTAAAGTGGGTCACAAAAGATTATTCTCTTTAAATTGATCCCTTAGAAGCAATAGCCCAGTTATAATGACTTGTAATAAGTTAGTTATTTAATTCTCGGTTTTGGTAGGGAGACCACATTGGTTCGCCGCGATCGTACCTTCGCCAAGTAGACTGACTTCCGGGTCATGCCAGTAGCCCCAGCTCCTACTGAAAATCCCGGGACGATCCATTGGTGGCAGCAAAAAGGGACCCGGCCGTAAAAAACATCAGCCCTGATTTCTGCTGCTGGGTGTTAAACTTTAGCAGGGCTGGAAAAGTGCACACGCTGTTACTGGAGGAAACTGTGGCGATCTGTAACAGAAAGGCTAAACTTTACGTTTACTTTCGGCAATTATCCCGCTTCCATGTTCAACAGAAGAGTTAAAAAGAAGTGAAGCGAAACTAGCTGTGAATCATCTGGAAAAGTGTTGCTAAGGAGTTACTTGCCGCACCTTTATGCAGATGCCAAATATGCGAACTCTTCATGCCTCCCCCATTTTTTAAGAGAAAACAACGTAGTAAGGAGAAAGAGAAGCTAAAGCTTACTCTCACGGAACTGTGTTCAACCCTAACTTTGTTGCGCGACTATGCTTTTAGGCCAGTGTTCCTACGACTAGCTATGGACACACGCGATGGCCACCTCATTGATTCGTCTCCCCCCTCCCCCAACATAGTTCTCAAAACAAAACTCTACAAAACTCTACACTGCACGCTAAAAGGGA